TAATGACAGTATATCTGTTTATAATCTGGATTAAAACTCTAAAATATTTTAACCAGAAAATTAAAAGTGCATCATTTGAATTTTTTTCCCTACATTTATACTTTTACTTAACAACTTGTTCTTGTGTCAAAWTTAAAATGAGGAGAAAATAAAAATCTGTTTTGCGTGTTATTCTGATCAAGCTGAAAATGAAACCATTTCCACCTCCAGCTGATGGACAGGTGCATCCCTTCACTGTCAACAAACCTTTGTACCTTTGCCACTTCTTTTTTTCTTTACCTTTTTTGAGGTTTCTTGTAGAAACTGTTGAAGTTTATTATTTGACATTAGCTTACAGAACAAAAACATTTGATTCTGAGTGCTTTACATTTTTTAAACACAAGACAAATAAAGAGTTTCTTACTAAATAAGCTGAAGAAAGAGAAATAATCTTCCTTACTGAATCCTCACTAATGTTTTCTAGCCTTCATCCTTGTCCTCCCTCATTCCGGCTCCTCTGCTTCACTCCCGTTGTCCTTGTAGGTGTTTTGGTTTGCAGCCCTCCTCCGTCTGAATGAGCAGAAATTTGTGGTTTCCTGAGAGAAGCGTTTGTTTGTAACCATGCTTCCTGTCCACAGAGAGAATACAAGAAGGCACTGGAGCAGGAGATCAAGGGCAAAGGAATGCTGGCTCTGGCCACAGACACCCCAGACTTCATGAGAGCCAGGAACGCCACGGACATCCTGAGTCAGGTCTGGACCCTGTCGGTGCTTCSAGCTGCAGGAACACAACGAACCAAAGCACTGCTGACAGTTTTATGTCTTCGTTTCGTAGACCAAGTACAAGCAGACTGCTGAAATGGACAGAGCCAGCTACACTACTGTCATCGACACCCCTGACATCATCCATGCTCAGCAGATGAGGAACATCGTCAGCCAGGTGAGCATCCAGCTGCTGGGGAGGGGGTCTGTTTTACCAGACCTCTGCCATTTGGCAGTTAAACCTTTAAATCCCAGTGAACMGCCATYTGGCAGATGTGAATAGCCCTTCTTGCCTCCAGTGTTGTGTAAATGAGGCCATTACATTTGAAAGAAGTAAGTCTGCCTGCAGCTAATCCAGCCACGCCCCATATCCTCACTCTGCTTCTCAAGGGCTCCTGTTGACAAGATTTTGCTCTGAAGATGTGGTGTGTTGCAAAGAACAGAACTGGATGCCACTGTCTTTTCAGAGCTGCAGTAAAAAATGTAAAGAGAGCAGAAGATACTTTATTAGTTAATTATTATCGAACTACTGAAAACCACCAAAAACCATGAGAAAACATGTAAAACCTCTCCTCCCTTTCCAACTTCTTTTTCTCCTTCTCCTCCTTCTTTTCCGTATCACTTTACTACAACGTATTGGATGTCCATGTTGGCGTTTCACGCTTCCAAGAGATCTGGGTTGTATCCATTCAGCCAGCAGTCCTTAGGATCACGTTTATTTATGACGACCATTCCAGATGGTCCAGATGTTACTCCAGGCTTGTAACATGACCCAGGCACAATATGAAGCTCACGTCAATGATCTCACATCTGGAATGGTCGTCATAAATAAACGTGATCCTAAGGACTGCTGGGTGAATGGATATAACCCAGATCTCTTGGAAGAGTGGAACGCCAACATGGACATCCAATACATTATAATAAAGTAATACGGAAAAGAAGGAGGAGAAGGAGAAAAAAGAAGGAGGAAAGGGAGAAGGAGGAGAAGAAGGCGGAGGATATGTAGGTTTGGGCCAAAGGTGGGGGGGGTATGTAGGAGCCCTTGAGAAACAGAGAGAATATCATCGGGCGTGGTGGGTGTGTCAGCTGACCTGTGAGTGGCTGCATGTATAACAAAAGGTGACCCTAATGGGTTGTAAATTACCCCAGCACCGCCGTGTGGCAGTCTCTGGTAGAAAAGGGAGTTGTTTGAAAATTTTAAATATTAAATAATAATAATAATAATAA